TAATTTTGTCAGCGCTGCTTGTGTTTAAATGCAGGCCAAGGTCTTTAAGCACTGCACCCAGTGTGCCGATCATCACTGGGACCACCTTTACTGGCTTGTGTCAGAGTCTTTGCAGTTTGATCTTTAAATCCTCATATCGTGTCATCTTTTCCAGTTGTTTTTCTTCCACCCTAATGTCACCTGGAACTGGAACATCGACAATCCACACTTTGTTTTTTAACACGATCGTGAGGTCAGGAGTATTGTGCTCCAAAACTCTGTCTGAGTTCGGAAGTCCCAGAGTAGCTTAACATGTTCATTCTCTATAACTTTTTCCGGCTTATGATCCCACCAGATATCTGTCGCAGGCAGATGGTATTTGTGGCACAAGTTCCAATGAATCATCTGAGCAACTGTGTTATGCCTCTGCTTGTAGCCTGTCTGTGCAATCTTCTTACAGCAGCTGAGGATGTGATCTATTGTTTCATCTGCTTCCTTGCAGAGTCTACATTTGGGATCTGTCGCCAACCTTTCAATTCTGGCTTTGATGGCATTTGTTTTAATGACTTGTTCTTGGGCTGCCAGAATCAGGCCCTCTGTCTCCTTTTTCATTATTATTATTATTATTATTATTATTATTATATGTCTCCATGCATGGAGCATGTAGTGTTTGGACAGACTGCGCATGCACAGAACCTCTCAGATCTCACCTAGAATCTCACATTAGTAGGGATTTCAAAGAGGCAGTTTTCTTTTTTTCAACAATGAAAAGGAAAAGGGATGGTGAGCGGGGCCAAATCTCTGCAGCCTGAAGGCAACTGCAGTGAAAGAATACGGAAAGAAAACTGAGACATTTTACAGTGATGAAGTTAGAGAAAACATCCATTTCATAACAAAACGGAGTAAGACTGAGCTCTTCTCTGCCAGACATTTCCCTGTCATAATGTGATGAAGTCCTCACATATGTTAAAATGAAGCTTTAAAGAAACCTCAATTGGTGTCCTCACAAGCTTTTAAATGCCTCACTACACTGCTATTGAGGGGAGAGGGAAGGGCTGCAGCTAAATACTTGTCTCTAATGTTTTGACTGTTATGCCATGTAATGCAATCCTTAAAATACTCCACTGGCACCAAAGGAAACAGCCCTTGTTCACATGTAGACCTCATGGTTGCCTAGAACCAATTCTGCTCTCTGGACAAAAAAGAGGTCTCTCACTCCTCATTTGGGGCAAATGTCTTAATAAAGCTTTCTGCTGTTTGAAACAACAAGAAAACAACCAAGTCTTGTCTTTTCTCTTGCTTTCAGTAAAACATTACTTAATTTTTTTCAAAAATGTTATTTTCTATCAGTTTCAGAGGAATGAAAAGTCTAAGAAAGCCCTATGAAATTAATGGGACTACCACAAAGATTTGGAGGCAGTGTTTGGTTTTGAGTATTTTTTAAAGTCCTTTGCCTCCAAATTTATCTTTGACACATATGAAGTACCATATCAGTGAGTCAACAACAATGAAGGGTGGCGTGAAAATTAGCTGTGCCAGAGTCATGGATTCCCACTAACAATGCCAATGAGCAAACTAGCCCTATACTTAACTATGGCCATCTGCTTGCTTGCTTTAAAAGATAGCAATCCCCAGTAGTATCTCTACAGCAGGGGTCAGCTCTGGAGTGAATTTCTCCTCATTATGTGGTTACTTACAAATTATGACGTCCATGATTACGATTATTATTACTTTAAAAGCACTGGTGTCAATCACTGTATACTACCAGCACTGGTTTGGAGCAAATTTGAGCAAAAGTATTGGGAAATTCATGTTATGGTCTTATAAAATAGCCTGCAGCTCCAAACTATCTCTATGATAATATGATGGAAACGTTTTATTAAACTAAGTCATTGTTCCTCTTCCAATTATGTGATCTGTGTCCTATATAATGTTTCTATTATTTGTTGTTGGTGAAATGGTCTCGGTTAACAATTATGTTCAAGGTACAATTACGTTTCTATGCAATGGTGGGTTTAACGTTGCAGTAGATCCATTCCTTGTTAAAGGCTTGACTAAGGTCCCATCTACACTGCCATTACAATGCGGACTGAATTACATTCTGACTCATCTAATGCAGTTTAACTGCACTGAACTGGGTGATATGAGTCTACATTGACTATATAATGTAGGTCCGTGTAGATGGGACCTGAAAGTTTATCCCAGGTTTTCTAACTGTGAAGATTAGAACAGTTGTTCTTGGATGCGGAGCTATGAAAAATAAAATCTGCAGCATGCTGTGAGTTTTTCAGGCTGTATGGCCATGTTCCAGTAGCATTCTCTCCTGACCTTTCACCTACATCTATGGCTGTCATTTTCAGAGATCTGTGCCGGCCACAGATGCAGGTGAAATGTCAGGAGAGAATGCTACTAGACTATGGCCATACAGCCCAGAAAACTCACAGCAACGCAGAGATTCCGGCTACCAACACAATAAAATCTGAATTTTAGAAGTATCAGAGGAGTCTACATTCTTACTTCCAAAACTCCAAGATTCTAAACACAGCAGTTAGCACTTGTTGTTAAAAAACTAATGTAAGCAGGTAATACTGATTTCTGCAGCAAGCAGAAGAAAAATAAAGTCTAAAAATAGATCTGCAGTAAAAGTTGTGACATATATTCACATTTCTTCCAGTAGATGTCACCAAAACTTCATTTTAGGCACACTGTTAAGGAAGATGTTTGGGTTTAGTTGCACTTTGAACCATATCCTGTAAAGTTGTTATTGTTGTTAGGGGTTTTTTATTGTTGTTCTAAACTATAGGACTTTACACTCAGTTGACATGCAAATTGAACTCACACATAAACATCAGAAAAGTGTCAGTGTATTGTAGTAGTTTGAACACTGAACTATGAAGACCAGGCTCAAATCTCCAACCAACCAACTTTAGAAGCCTAGTGGGTTGCCTTTCAAAAGTCATGTCCCTCAGCCCCAGAAGAAGGCAGAGGCAGAATCCCTCTGTACAAAACATGCCAAGAAAACCCCATGATAGATTCACTTTAGGGTTATCTAAATCATAAATTACTTAAAAGCAAACAATAACAACAATGAAAACAACAACTTGCCATAGATGGACCTGGAGCTCTAAATTACATACTACATGAATCTCTGCAGTTGTTTGCCAGACCACACATACACATATACTAATTTTCTTCCTTTCTTGTCCAAGAAAAGATTTCTACAAGATGCTAGAAACTTGTAGACAAGCGGAGATATCAGGTTAACCCTTCCCTTGTCTGTTATTTGTCCTGTCACAATCACTCCTCCCTGCTGCTTTCTTCCCTACAAATGGAGTAAGATAAATTTTGAAGAAACAAACATCCTGGAAACCACTTGCACCCACATACCAGCACTTCATGCTTCCTGCACTCAGGATTATAGGATTCAAAGGATGATTTTCTGGAACAGGGGAAGGCGAGGAATCCCCTCCCATCAGGAGAAAGAATCACAACGCTAGACATGGCCTTCACTTCAGACACGATCAAAATCATCTTATTCTTCTTTGTGATAATATCAGTACACTCAACCATTGAATTAACTGGCAGACCAGGATTGTTCCATGAATTGGAGGAAGGACTTGACACAATGGGTCATTGTAAAACTGCTAAACATAAGGACAGGCCAAGACATCTTGCTATTTGAGGTGAATAAACCAATGCTGCTTCCTTCCATTCTATGCATAAAAGCTGACAGGCAGGTGGCCCTTTTATTTAACAAGGAAACTGGGGCAGTATACATTGTCAACACTTAAAGGCAGAAAGGGGGTGTAATAGGGCAAATCATATGGCACACAGTTCTCGTCTCTTGTTTCCCCTCAGCAATTGCCACCTGAGATAACTGTTTCACTGTTTAACATCAAGACTGGCCAGGTCTAGCTACATATTCCTAATGCTTCTTTCCAGATGTGAAGCTCTGTAATAATAATAATAATAATAATAATAATAATAATAATAATAATAACTTTATTTGTACCTCGCTACCATCTCCCCAAGGGACTCGGTGCGGCTTACATGAGGCTGAGCCCACAACACAACAGTAAAAACAATAACAACAGTAATACAAAACAATAAATAAAACTCATAAACAGAAAATAAGCAATAAACATTAACAATAACACAACAACGTTTAAAAACCTATGGCTAGGCCAAATGTAATAATTAAAATTTAAAAAATAATGCTGAGCGTGACCAGGTGAAATATAACTAGGATAGAATTTTCGGAGAGGGATAGGGTGTGCAGAATCACTGTAATTTACCATAGTAAAGAAACTTTTGTGTCAAAACCATTATATCTACAAAATGCATTCCTCCCCTTGAAATCATGAATCTCAATAACAGACTTGCGAGGTTAATCTCTGATTATTATATTAATAAAGTACATAATTTGAGCACACTGTGTACAAATTTCCATGCATGCTGAATTATAGTGGGAAAGAAGACCCAATTATTTTTAACTCTAGGTGACTTACAGCACAATACTATCCAATCCATATTCTACTCAATCCTATGTGTAACTGACCAGATCTATGGAGATTCAACTCATTTTAGCAGACACAGGACTACAATCTGTTTTCAGTGAGACATCAACCCCAGCTTAAACCAGAGGGGTGCAGTAAAAAATGATAAAATGTTTTCCCTGAAAAGAGGCATATGAATATCTAAATCTATCACAAATGTGTGCTGTACTCACTGGACATTGACTTTGGATTCTCACATGCACACATACACACACATAAATATGGCATATATATAGCACAAAAGCACTCTGCATACATAACTTCACTTGTTCCATAGGGTATAAGTTCCCCCATGGGACAAAAACAGCCTCGGGGGTGAGCTGAATATCTTTGAGAAATATGCTAAAGAAATCCTTAACTCACCCTAGTTCCTCCTTGGTCATGGCAGATCTTTTAACTGATTGAGAAGGCCTAACAAGGCTACTATTGAGCCTGGATTTTGTTTTGCGGAAGATCTAATCTCACCTTTGCTGATATGGCTCTACTTTTGTTTTGAACAGCCTGGTAGTCTCTATTAAGAGAGAAAAACATCATATAAATAATAGGAATAATAATGCAGGCTGCCGTTATCGCTCTATGTATCATGGTCATTAAAGCGGCCCTTACAGGGCCAATGAAATGTATGGTAGTCAACATGAGTAAACAGAGTCATGAAGCAATCCCTTTTTCTATTTTACCTTTTCAGCTTTGTCAAAACTGTTGTTTGCTGTGAGTTTTCCGGGCGGTATGGCCATGTTCCAAAAGTATTCTTTCCAGAATGTTTGTTTCGCCTACATCTATGGCAAGCATCCTCAGAGGTTGAGGGGTTTGTTGGAAACTAGGCAAGTGAGGTTTATATATCTGTGGAATGTCCAGGATGGAAGAAAAAACTCTTTGTCTGCTCGAGGCAAGTGTGAATGTTGTAAATGTCCACTTTGATTAGCATTTAATGGCCTTGCAACTTCAAAGCCTGGCTGGCTGCTGCCTGAGGGAATCCTTTGTTGAGAGGTGTTAGCTGGCCCTGAATGATTCTTGTCTGGAATTCCCCTGCTTTTTGAACATGGCCAATAAGCCCAGAAAACTCACAGCAACCCAGTGATTCCAGCAGTGAAAGCCTTTGGCAACACAGTTATCAAAACACTTAACAGAACATAATGAGCTATCATCCATTTGTTTTGTTGTGACCAGCCACACATGTCAGCTTTCTCTCCTGGGAAAATGCTGTCAGGGGAAGAATGTCATCATTTTGCCACTGTCCAGAGTAGATAGATCTGAGCCTTTCCCTTTCCCCTTTCTGTGTGATTTCTGTGTGATTTCTTCCTCCCCAGAGACAGGCCCTTTTTGGACAAATCTGGCATTGGCTGTTTGCAAATGGCTTTCAAGGGGCTGAGAGACCAGGTGAGCCACAAGTTACCTCCTCTTGGACCAGCCCTCTTTTTGAGGCAGACACAATCATACAATCAGTATGATCCACTTCCCCACAGATTCGATATCTATGGTTTAACTTACCCATGCTCCAAAAATATTTCTTCCTGAAAGGATTTGTGAGCCTCTTCAGGTCCTCCAGTGTGATCTGATGGTATGTTTTGAGGTACCAAATTACAGTATTATTATTGTTATAAGGCAAATTTATTTGTAATAAATACTACTAATAATAATTTTTTTACATCAAAACATACTATCAAATCACATTAGAAGGTGGAACACATCTCACCACGTTAAAATGGTGGCTCTTAATGTGGCTCTTAATGAGACATGTCGTATTATCACATGATGTTTATGCCCTACACCACTAGAGAAATTATATTGCTTAGCCAGTATTGCACCACCTGACATCTGCTGGCAAGTAGCTGCCAATAATGAAAGGACCAAGGCAGTAGCATCTCCAGCCCACTCCCTGTTCGGATATCAACCAGCATGCCAATGCCTTAAATCAAGAATTAGTTTTCTAAGATCTACAGAGATATTCACAGGAACACCTCAGCAATCAAGAGGTGCCAAAAGTGGCAGGCTAAAATCTGGTGCCTCAAGCCATGGCTGATACTGAATGAGAAACTCTCTCCTGGGTACACATAAGACTGGGCAACTTGGAAGGCACTAAACAGACTGTGCGCTAGAACCACAAGATGCAGATCCAACCTTAATAAATGGGGCCACAAAGTGGAGTCCACGACATGTGAGTGTGGAGAAGAGCAAACCATAGATCACCTATTACAATGCAGCCTGAGCCCTGCCACATGCACAATGGAAGACCTTCTTATACAACACCAGAGGCACTCCAAGTGGCCAGCTTCTGTCAAAGTACATTTAGTACAATGCCAAGTTTTTTTAACTTTGCTTGTGTTTTTAAATACATTACAATTGTACCCTCAGTTTGCTTCTGACACAATAAATGAACATCGGAAGGTGATGATGGTAACAACAACAACAAATGGAACTTTGAAAAAGGAGACCAAGGGCCTGATTCTTGCAGCCCAAGAACAGACAATTAGAACAAATGCCATCAAAGCCAGAATTGAAAAGTCGACAAGAGATCCCAAGTGTAGACTCTGCAAGGAAGCAGACGAAATGATAGATCACATCCTCAGCTGCTGTAAGAAGATTGCACAGACAGACTACAAGCATAGGCATAATATCGTTGCTCAGATGATTCACTGAAACTTGTGCCACAAATATGATCTGCCTGTGACAAAGAACTGGTGGGATCACAAGCCTGAAAAAAGTTATGGAAAATGAACACTTCAAATTACTCTGGGACTTCCGAATTCAGTTCGGGATTATTTATGTTAAAGACCAAGTATATTCCATATATGATAAGGTTATGGTATTAAAACATAATATAATAATAATAATAATAATAATAATAATAATAATAATAATATCACCATCATCATCACCATCATCATCATCAAAATCCTCTGGGACTTCCGAATTCAGACTGACAGAGTTTTGGAACATAATACTCCTGACCTCACGATCGTGGAAAATAACAAAGTATGGATCATTGATGTTGCAATCCCAGGTGACAGCAGAATTGACGAGAAGCAAGTGGAAAAGCTTACACGATATGAGGATTTAAAGATAGAACTGCAAAGACTCTGCCCCAAGCCAGTCAAGGTGGTCCCAGTGGTGATTGGCACACTGGGTGCAGTGCCTAAAGACCTTGGCCTGCACTTAAGCACAATTGGCGCTAACAAAATTACTATCTGTCAGCTGCAAAAGGCCACCCTACTGGGATCTGCATGCATTATTCGCCAATACATCACACAATCCTAGACATTAGGGAAGTATTCAACATGTGATCAAATACAAAAGCCAGCAGAATGATCTTGTTTGCTGTGCACTAATCTTGCTGTGTATCAAATAATCATCATCATCATCTTTATTTTTGTACCCTGCCTCCATCTCCCCGAAGGGATTTGGGGCAGCTTATATGTGGCACAAAATGCTGAGACAAAGCATAAAATAAATACACTGTTATGGACTCACCTTGTTGTGTTTCAAATAATAATAATCTAGCCCAGGTACAGTCAAAATCTAGCTTTTGCTATTATCCACAGTTTCAGGTGTCCATGGGAAGGTCTTGAATGCATCCCTTTCAGGCACGGGGTGTGTATTGTACTCTAATCACCCCCTTTCCATCTTCCGGGACTAAAACCTGCCATTAAAATAAGGCCCAGAAGTGGAATCCTGCATCAGATGAAAACCCTGGCCTATGAGATTTTCCCATATTCAACTCTTTACATGGTCAGGATGTGGTATTTATTTGAAACACTGTAAAAGCAAAAGTTGTGCTGCTAGGGGCATAAAAGCAATGTTTAACAACAAGGCACTGTGGCCCAGCTAGTCTTGCTTTGCCTGTGCTTTTGCTTTACTTCTCAAGGCCTCATATGTAGTCCAGCAGCACTTCCACCATTTCAGGGCTCCTTCCAGCGGTTGCCCAGCAGTTCTGCCCCGGCCACTTACCCTGACTTGCGTGTCTTCATTTCCTACTTGGCCAAAGAATACAGCAGAGGGTCACAAAGCCAGGGCTGTGGTCTTGAAATGCCACAGTGACCCCTGCTGGCCAGGAGGGGAAATTGTGTCGCTTCTTGTTTACTAAAAGGAAATGGGAGAGAGTGTGACTGTGGCCCCATCTGCAGTTTCAAACCACTATTGAAGAAAGTGGCTTTGCTGTGCAGATGACTACATGTGGTAGTAAATCCTGGAACCAGTCTGAGGCCCAGAGAGTGATTTCACAAACCACAGAGCGCTGAGGCTTTCGTTCTCAGGCTTTTGTGGGAGTTTGTTGTCTGTATTGTCGAAGGCTTTCATAGCCGGAATCACTTGGTTGTTGTGGGCATTAAAGCATCTTATTGACAGTGCCATCAACCAGATATATGGCTAGTAGCAGAGTAAAATAAAAGTGGCGGTGAATGTCTGTTTGGTAGAATAGTAGTGCTCAAATCACCAGATAAGTGGGAGCTTTTTTCAGCCTAAACTGATCTCCTTGACATAGGAGATGCCCAACTTGTCTTTTGAAGGTCTTAAATCTCCTGCTATTGTTATCATTTATTTATCATGTCAGGAGCAAACCAAAACAGTTGTATTGCATTAAAAACAAAACAGAAGCAAGTCGCTTCTGGAGTGAGAGAATCATCCATCTACGAAGATGTTGCCCAGGGGATGCCCAGATGTCTTGCAGTCCTGTGTGGAGGCTTCTCTCATGTCCCCCAATCTATTATTAAGATGTGTATGTATTTATTTATTTATTTCCGGTATTTCTATCCCGTTCCTTCTCAACCCCCGAAGGGGGACTCAGGACGGCTTACATTTGGCAGCAATTTGATGCCACTACATATAACAGAGCAATATAATAACAATTAAAACAATAAGTAAAACATTCCATAAAACAGTAAAAAAAAACCCAGTATTAACAGCTATATCACCATTCCAGTCAATTCCATATCCAATTCCATGTCCAAAGTGCTATCTATGTCTGTTACTAAATGGTCCCATTTCACTACCCAGAGCTTGCACATGCACAACCTGATAGATCACCCAGTCAAGGCAAACCAAATGGAATTTGTTGTGTGTTGTCAAAGGCTTTCATGACCAGAATCACTGGATTGTGTGTTTTCCGGGCTGTAGGGCCATGTTCCAGAAGTATTATCTCCTAGCATTTCACCTGCATCTATCTCAGGCATCCTCAGAGATTGAGAGGTCTGTTGGAAACTAGGAAAATGGGGTTTGTATATCTGTGGAATGTCCAGGGTGTGGGAAAGAACTCTCGTCTGTTGGAGGTAGATGTGAACGTAGTAATTGGCCACCTTGATTAGCATCTAATGGCCTAGCAGTTTTCAAGGTCTGGCTGCTTCCTGCCTGGGGGAATCCTTTGTTGAGAGGTGATTAGCTGGCCCTGGTTGTTTCTTGTCAGGAATTCCCATTTTTTAGTATTTTTCCTTATTTACTGTTATGATTTTAGAGTTTTTAAATACTGGTAGCCAGATTTTGTTCATTTTCATGGTTTCTTCTTTTCTGTTGACATTGTCCACATGTTTGTGGATTTCAATGGCTTTTCTGTGTAGTCTGACATGGTAAATGTTAAGAGTGCTAGGCCATTAAATGCTAATCAAGGTGGCCAATTGAAACATTCACACCTGCCTCAAACAGACAAGAGTTCTTACTCCCAACTTGGACGTTCCACATTCCACAGATATATAAATCCTACTTTCCAAGTTTCCAACAGACCCCTCAACTTCTGAGGATGCCTGCGAAACTTCAGGAGAGAATGCTTCTGGAACATAGAATACAGTCCAGAAAACTCACAACAACCCAGTTTGTTGTCTGGCTGCCACAGTTTCAAGCTAGCTTTGAACTGGATGGAGCCTGTGTTTAAATGTAGAGATGGCAATAGCACAGCCCTCATATTATTGAACTGATACGATACATTTTGGACTGATTCTTTGAATACAGCTTATTTTATATCTGCATGCACTGCTGCGTTTTATGGAATTTTAAATCTTATTAACAAGGGTTTATGTGTTGTTTTATGTAAAATCATTGTGTAAATTTATAAGAGCCAGTGTGGTTTGAGCACTGGACTAAGAAAAACTTGATAGGTTCATCTGAAGGTCACTGTTAGTCAGACATGGCTTGAAGGCACACATCAACAGCACCCGAGTTTCCATGATCCTTCATTACTGAGAAAATGTGACTTGCCCAAGGTCACCAAGGGCTTTCCATGGCTGAGCAGGAATTTGAACCCTGGGACTCTCTTGGCTTTAGAGGAAGACAAGTCCTCTCTGAGCAAATCTTGCCCCAAAACTTGGTGATAGCTACACTTTAGCTTCAGCATAACAAGTTAGCATTACCATAACTTGTAGACACACAACAATATCTTAAAGATATGCTTCAACAATATCTCTTTTCCACTACGGTTCTTTAGAAACCAGGTACAATGCTGAAAAGAGAAAAGAAGAGGAAATGTTGTGTGACTCACTGACTACTGTTGTTTCTTCAATACGTCTCTTACGTACATGTTGACTCAGAAGTAAATCCTATGGAGTCTAATGGGAGCTATTCAACATAAATTATTCAGGACTGCAGGCCAAATGTAATAATTGACTCCGTCAATAAACTCAAATATTTAAGAAAATGTGAAGTGTTATGAAGGATGTATTTCACACTGACATACAGATGATGTTGACCTTTTTGATATCTCAGCTCTCATCATCTTAGCTTCCACTTTAAGGACCCCCACACACTTTGTTATAAGATGGCTGGCTGTATAGTCCTAACCCAAAGATGTCCTTGTTGCATCACATGAGGATTTGGTCCAAGCCTCTTCAACCAACAGAAATATTGTTTTTCCTAGCTGATCTCAGACATCTGCCAATCTGCTGGCAATTCCACTTTTCAGACTATGTTCTGCCAAGGGAAAGAGAGGGGGAGAGAGAAAGGGAGCAGAGAACATGCAGATGTAAGGGAGTTGATCCAAATCTCTCCTACCCAAGATCATAGCCACAGGATGGGAGAGTCAGGCTGAGCAGAGAAAAGTCTTAAATAATTTCCATCCCTTCAAGGTTGGGAGGGGTTGGAATGCATTGCAGCTTCAGATAACATTGCCTTTGCTGGCCCTCAGGCAATTTGGATTGTGCTCCTAAGCAAAGCATTTAAACCTGCAAAAGTAGACCCTCTTTATTTAGAAAGGATAATGGAAAGCATTGTACTAAATACAGGAACTGGGAACAGATTACTTCTTGGCTTTCTGCTTCAATAGTGAGCTGTGCCAATTGCTATTTATATAAATAGAAGACTGCACTTTATACTCAGTTATCGCAGTGCAATGCCAAGCACTTATTTCCTTTTCATACTTTCTTGGGCATAAGTTCCATTGAACTTGATGATAGTTAAGTCTTCCTGCTTCTATCAGCAAAGTAGGAAAGAACAATCATCACTGTTCCTGTTTCTGTGTAAGAAGTATATCTGCAAAAAGAAAAAATGCAATTAACATCAACACCTGCTCTTTAAGAGCAGGGTTCCCTTGGCAGCATACATGCGTTATGTAGAGCTGCAAGGAGAAGAAAACTAGGAAACAATCCTTTCCCAAAAGTGGAATTCTGTTTGCACAGTGCTGGATTCCTGATGTCAGTCCAGTCAACTTGCTATATTGTTGCTGTAAGTCTTCAAGTCATTTCTAACTTAAGGCAACCCTTAAGCAAACCTATGACTATATTTGTTTAGGGGGGGGGGGGTCGCCATTGCCTTCCTCTGGGGTTGAAAGAGTATGATTTGCCATGTTCACTGAGTTCCATAGCTGAGTGGGAATTTTAACCCTACTTCTCTGGAGACCCAGTCCACCACTTGAACCACTACACCCCACTGACTCTTGTTCCTGGATATACACTTCTGATATAATTGGGTTGTATGCTAAATGATAGAGTTACTTACATTTTCCACAATGTATCATCTACCAGTGAATTTATTGAAATACACAGTATAATGCATTATAATGCATTATAAAGGAAGAGGGGCCGACCAAGGGCAAGATGGATGGATGGCATCCTTGAAGTGACTGGACTGACTTTGAAGGAGCTGGGGGTGGTAACGGCCGACAGGGAGCTCTGGCGTGGGCTGGTCCATGAGGTCACGAAGAGTCGGAGACGACTGAACGAATGAACAACAACAACATGCTAAATGATAGAGTTACTTACATTTTCCACAATGTATCATCTACCAGTGCATTTATTGAAATACACAGTATAATAGAAAAGGATTGTGTATCACATTTGAGGGAAATTCAGTTTGGGCTTGTCTACATTGGCCCAAAAACCTGTACTAACCATGACTGGACCACTAACAGTCTTCTTGGTCCAGTGGATATCATGAGGTTTCTCACTTTAAAATGACTTTGCTCTACTTTGGGCAAAGTCGAGGAATACTTAGGAATTTACTAGAAACGCTGGAGTATCTTGGGGATTTGTAACTGTCTGGACAACAGGATTAGGTCTGATTTAATCCAATCTGCTATCTAGACAGACACTGCTGCTGCCACCAATTCCCTGAGCTCATCAGGGATGGGTCATTCCCATGTCACTGCGACCATCACACAAAAGGAGTGGAGGTCAGTTCAAATCGCCACTCAAGCATGGAAACTCACTGGATGGCTGTGACAAGTCACAATCTGGGTGCGTCTGCACTATAAAATAATGCACTTGTAGTTTTACAAGGTCTTCTCTGTCAAATGTGCTGGTGTCTACTCATAGCCTTATTTATTTATTTATTTATTTATTTATTTATTTATTTATTTATTATATTTATACCCTGCCCTTCTCCCGTCGAAGGGGGACTCAGGGCGGCCTTGAGCCATGGCAGTTAAAGTGAAGATCAAACTGCATTAATTTTACACTATAGTTGCTCAAGGCCATCCAGTGGTTTTCCATGCCTGAAAGAACCCATGTTTCCAGAGCCATAGACTAACACTGGAACCATTAAATCATGTAAGACGAAACTGGCCTGCACATCTCTAATAATCCACATGGTGTCATTGTTTCTCTACATTTCACTTGATTTCAAACCAATTCAGCAGAAAGTAAAAGACTTACTGAGCAGAAAACACTTCAATGCTCAAAGAGGCAGCCTACAGTCTAGAAAAAAAAGTCTGTATTTTGCTGCTAAATTAAAAGACACAGATGCCATTATGAACATTCAACCCAATGTGATGTAGCATTGTGCTTCTTGGGATATTTCAGAGGGAGACCAGCATTTTTTTTTCTTAATGTACCAGGAACTGGTGTCATTTTTGTGTCTATTGGCTACAACTGTTTCTTTGCTGCTACTGATGGCTTGTGGACCAGCAGTGGTCCACAGGCCATCATTTTAAGTAACATTGCCATAATTGTTTAAGTGCTGGACTAGGACATTAGGAGACCAGGATTCATATGTCCACTCATCCATGGAAAACCACAGTCTCCAGCAAACCACACCATTTCAGTATTAGAAAAAGATAGTTTCTAATCTCTAACTAAATATTGCCAAGCAAAACCCATGATAGATTTTCATCCAGATCCCTTTGATGGGCATCCATTGTTTCCTGAATCTCTTTCACCTTAACATTTGCAAATGACCTTGCTCAAAGGATACATCTGCAGAAGCATCTACAAAGGAATGTCATGTGTTGCTTTTCTTTTTACTAATTTAATCTTGTTTAGCCTTTTAAATTCATCTCGATCCTTCTCCCACCCCTGCTGTTAAGAAAGAACATCTGATAAACTCAGGCCTACATCTTTCTATCACCTTCCTAACACCATTGTGTAAGACAATACTAAACATTCTTCTCAATTTGTAAAACCTGCTTCTGGCAAAATGTAATGGAGGAATCTATTCACATACCCATTTCTCACACCAGGAGGGAAGAGGAAGGATCATTGGAACTGGTCTGATATTTTTTTTCTTATGTAAAATATTTCTCCAAAATATTTGAGAGAGAGGAGCCTCTAGGGAAATTACAGCTCTATTGTAAATTGCAAATGCCCCATTATCTTATAACCAGACTTTATTAGGGGAGTTGTAGCCCAACACATAAAAGGGCATCATGTTAAGGAAAGATGCCTGTATTATATGATATATGGATATGGTTCATAATTCACATCATCACCAGTTTACAGACACGATGCACAATCAGCCCACCATCCTGAGAAAATGTGAATTGATTTCACATTTCAAGAGAAGGCCATCAGGAAATAACCATCAAACTTCAAACTCTTTTTCTATCTCTGCTTCTGACCTCAAGAAACCATCATAGATATACTTATAAAGATGATCTATGCACAGTCAAGGTCTGACATTGCTGTTTTTGTGCTTAGATGTGCATTTCTCCCTGATCTGATCAGTCAATATGCTACCAGCAGGGAGGGTGTGTTTGGACTCCCTTTGCCCCATAACATATGGGCTGACTCACTTGTTTGGTTCAGTAATGCCATTTGTTTATCTCAAATACATCTCTCCTACCAAGGCCCAGATTGATACTTGGGACATTTGGTGCACTGAAATGCGCATCAGAGTGATATATATAGGGAGCAAACAACATTGGAAAAGATAGTCCAAGGCTGATGACTCATCCCAATTTAACAACCGATTTCAGGGGGGACATCTAGTGCTTCCCCCATGAAATCAGGACAGAAAGATCTTTTCTTCTCATTGTCGTCACATACGTCCCAAATGTTACTCCAGAGAGCTAAGAAATCTTCTAGAATTAGTTTTCAGTGGTACCCAAGGCTATATAGGAGTTTCTGTTGCACTAAATATTTTTGATCAAAGTATATATGGGTAGATTTTGCCTTTCCATTGTCTCGCCTAAGTACTGGATACCCCAGTAAAAATGTAACCTCTCTGAAGTCTGAGGGCCCTTCCACACAGCCATATAATCCAGAATATCAAGACAGAAAATCCCACAATATCTACTTTGAACTGAAGTATCCAAGTCCACACTGCCATATATTCCAGTTCAAAGCAGAAATGTAGGATTTTATTCAGCTATATGGAAGGGGCCTGGGTCACCTTCATTGGAGCATTGTATCCCGCTCCCCATCCTTTTCCAGAGACAGTGGCAAATTGAAACATATCAAGCAGAGAGCAATTGAACATGCCTTCACCCAATGCAATCATGTTATGATTCTATTTTAACTATAGATGCAACCTATGGAATCCTGCAATTTGTACTTTAGTGAGGAACATTAGTGAGGTTTCTCCATTTCAGAAGACTTTACTGATGTGTTAATAAATGTGTAGCTGCTGGACTAGCAGTACTTAGTGAGATTTGTGTGCCTTCAAGTCATTTCTGACTTATGGAGATCATGAGATTTTCTTGGAAAGCTTTGCCATCTACAGACGCTGAAAAGGTGTGATTTGCCCAAGGTCACCCAATGGGCCAAGCAAGAATTCAAACTGATCTGCCAAACTCCCAGCTCTACATGTGCTACACTGGCTGACAAGATTTTTTTTTAGTGGCAAGCCTTATTGCTCAATCTTTCCCCAACTTTTGTTATGTATCTCAGTTTAGTAATCCAAATTGAATACATTTACTTACAACAGTAATCAGAAGTTTTGGATAATATGTGTAAGGCTCAGTGCTGAACTACAGCTTAAGTCACTAACACCTGAAACTGACTAGACCATCTTTTTTCAGTTGTCCTACCATACAAGAAGAAGAATGGTATTAAGGTCATGGGAAGAAAGCTAGAATCTGTTAGCTAATACAAAGTAAATGCTCCCTGTGATTCAGAGGAAAGGCAAATGCACTGAATTGCATAATGGAAGTAGCAACAACAGAGAAATATTTTCCAAGATTTTATTGCAAACCGATAGGTTTGGTCACAAAAAATGATACATATTATAATCACATAAAGTACATTAAAATGGTGGTATACATTATAATCCTTTAAAGTTTTTTTCCTTTTAAATATACATATAGCATTGCAACCAGCTGTACAAGTCTTTTTTACAAATACATACAACCAGGAATGCAAACTTTTTTTTTACAAACCATAAATAATGCCCAGTTGTACAGATGATGAACAAAAATAATTATTTTACCAACAGCTTTGACAAGACTGCAGTTGGGGCATTTTGGTCCATAGAAACCCTTTCTAAAAATAGAAATATTTATATATATTATATATAGTTATTTCCATAGCAGCAATGCTTACTTCAAGCATTTGGGATGCAAGTCATTGAAGCCCCTTTTGATATTTTAGATGTTCACTATATAGGGTTGTGTTTTTATTTTACATATTAAAAACATTATATACAATTATTAATTTATTGTCTTCCAAATATGGAAGGAACAAACAATGCCCCACATTGTAATGTCCTGCAAGTAGCACACTGATGCTTCTGAACTGTGGAGTCCACTTGCACATATGTATACTACATTCATACCATTGTCTCTACATAGCAAACCCATCCACACACACACTCGTGAATCAAGAAAACGCTCTTGTGACAGGAAAAGCTTTGGAGCTTCCAAGATCTCATTGGGAAAAAAGGCACATTTTCATAAAATCCTCATCACATCCAGCACGATCTTCAAGCTAGACTTCTCAGAACATCCTCTCCAGATAACAGTAATAAGAATACACACAGCATCTTGTTCATATGCTTAGACGCTACAGCAGTCTATGGCAGCAGTCAGTTTTTCCTTCTTCTTCATCTTAAAAATAAAACTTCAAAAGAAGATATAGCACCACTTTGGAGAGTGGGAAGAGCTGGAAGTACAATGTTTGCATGTTCATTTGAAAAGAGTCTTATGTGCTCCTCAAACAAACCATAGCAACAAAAAAGACTAACACAAGTCTTCCAGCAAACACAGCAGTAGTTGAAATTAAGGCTGCAAAGCTGCCACACACAGTGGGAAGATGTGCAAAATTTTATCTTTCAAGGTGACCAGACCACTGGCAGCTCAACCAGAAGGCCAACGAAAAGGTCATTGTTTTTAAAAAAAGGAGAACAAAAGGATGGAAGAATGAAGTCATTTGTAGAAATTCACAGGAAAGAATCCATGGGAGGAGCATAGGAGAAGCCCAGAAAAGCTTCAGCAGCCTCCTTGACGCTGGCAGTGATGAGGATACTGTCAGAAGCCTGGCCAATGGAGTTTGGGACCGGCTCCTCTGTAAATTCAGGATCAAAGTGCCGTAGGTCACTGGGGCCACTCTGAGAAAACAAAGAGAGGGAGTGGTGGTTAATGATGGACTGTGAAGAATGAGCAGAAAACTAATCAGCTGGGTTAAAAGCAAAGGTACACAACTTGTTCAGGTGTTGTTGGACTACAACTTCCACCATTCCTACAGCTTAGCCATGCGGTCTAGGGCTGATGGGAGTTACAGTCCAACAGCTACAAGGCCAAACATTCCCCAGCCCTCTTCTAAGTGCTCTGCACAACCAACACTAATTTCAAAGGTGTGTTGTTTACATATCACCTAAAGGTCACATTCATCCAATGTTAGAGGTGGCATTTATCTACAATGTACTCAGACTTTAAAGGCTGAGAGAACAACTCCTCTGAAAAGATGTTTCATAGTTTGGGACACTGGTTCTCAACCTGTGGGTCCCCAAATGTTTTGACCTTCAACTTCCAGAAATCCTAACAACTGGTAAACTGGCTGGGATTTCTGGGAGCTGTAAGACAAAGCATCTGGGGGGGACCCACAGCTTGAGAACGACTAAGTCTAGGGCTACAGTCCTAAACCCATTTCCAAGGGAGTAAGTTAAACCTGAGTAGAGCCTGAAGTACTATAGAACTCAGCTGGGTGAGCATGGTCAATTTCAGAAGGGGGATGTTACTGCACAATGACAAGAAACCCCCATACACAGACCATGAGCTCTACCATTTTGAAGCTAGCTAGAGCCTTTGAAGATAAAGTTGTTTCCTCCATAGTTGGAAATAATAAAATCCCATTTCGGAGGTTTGCCAGAAGACCTTTCTTCCCCTTAAGCTTTAAAAAGAAAAGTAACCTATAAATGTTGCATGTAAGAACAAACTAAACTTGCATGCTTCCTCCCACGCATAAGCTGAAAGTGGCACTTTAAATCTGACACCTGTGTAATTGTCTCTTCCAGGTCACCCTGGTAATACATTTAAGTATCCTTTTGAAACCCCTGCTGGTTATTAATATCTTCACCTTCTGGACACCCTCTGTATAAATAGGGAAAAAAACCACCACCTTCCTTGTCTATTCTATAATTAGAAGAAATACTTACCACATTTGGGTTAAAGGGGGGTGTAATCTTCTTATTAATGAGATCATCCCAGTTAATTGGAGAGAAGAAGATGTGATTCTTAATCTCCATCTGTTCAGGAAATGGAAATTAGATCCACTTAGACAAAGAGTAATTGAAGGAGACAAGCCTAGTCTAGCCAACTTCCAAAAATGCCCACTCCCCTCCACCCTACCCTCAAAGTTCCTAAGATTATACTTACAAAGTCCTCCTTGGCTCCTAGCCTCTTGGTCCTGTCCTTCTGCAAAAGACCTTCCAAAAGATGTCTAGCGGAGTTAGTGATATTTGGCTTCAGCTGTAGAGGTTTGTTCAGAATGTTGTCATACATTTCTGCTGTGTTTCTACTGTAGAAGGGGGGCTGGAAAAACAAAACAAGAGCAGAAAAATTATTAATAACAAGTACACTGGGCTGGGATGAGATTTTAATACCCATTTGAGTCACATATGGACATTAAAGATGTAAAAAAAGCTAGTGGCCATGCTTGCTGGAGGGTTGTGAGAGATGTCTAATATACCATTGGTTTATATAAAAATATTTGTATATATCCCATTATCATGTCAATGCATTAACTTGTATCTCAAGATACTGGAGGTTCAAGGCCCCCCAAAAGAAATAGAACCACCAAAATTAACATAGGAAAGTTTAAGTGGAGTCAAAGGTTTGGGCCATTCTGTCTTCTGGTGTAACTTCTGTTATTTTTACATAATTGATTGTTTTTAAATTTAAGACTTACCAGTCCATAAAGCATTTCATACAGGACTGCTCCAAGGCACCACCAGTCCACAGTTCGGTCATAGGGTTGCTTATGAAGGACTTCAGGGGCAAGGTACTAAACAAGACAAAAGGGGAAAAGGAAACATTAGATTCATGACCAAAAGCATGACCAAAAAACCAGAACATACAAGACCGAAACTAGGCTCAGAAATCCACATTTCTTTAAAATCAAGGTGTCTCAGAGAAATGGATGGGTGGTTTGAGGCCTAGACCAAAAGTCCTGAAGACATGGTGCATTTACATAAGAGCTGGTTTCTCTACAGAGCACTCTTATACTACTGATGCTATTTACAAGCCTCAAAGACCTCATTTTTTGAATCTGGTTTTAGTTTGTAAACTTTGTCCACCTAACTGCCATAAAGTGCCCTTTTTGGGGAAACTTTCTGCTAGCACAGTTTAGGCCAATTCTCACCATCATTTTCTTATGAATAAAGCAGAATTTAAAACTTACCTCAGGAGTGCCACAAAATGTGGAAGTTGTGCCATTGTGCTCTATGTTCTCTTTGCAGAGTCCAAAGTCTGTCAAAACAATGTGGCCCTGAGAATCAAGCAAAATATTCTCCGGCTTCAAGTCTCTGTGAGAAAGGAAGACAAATGCAAAGTTCAGCCTATGCATTTCAGCCTTTATTGTTTGCCATTCTAAGTAAAAGTATTAGCATATCAATTTTTAATGTTTTTGTGTAACCAGTTTCAGCACACTGTCCCCAAATGTTTTCAAAGGCCACCATCCCACACAATTCACTCTACAAGGAAAGGTGTGGAACACCTTATTGGTTCTAACCATTTTTTTCAGGAGTGACTTGAGAAACTGCAAGTCACTTCTGATGTGAAAGAATTGGCCATCTACAAGGACGTTGCCCAGATGTTTTACCAACTTGTGAGAGGCTTATCTCATGTCTCATCTGACAGACAGGAGCTCACCCCACTCCCTGGGTCTGAACTGCCAACCTCCTGGTCAGCAATCCTGCCTACACAAGGGTTTAAGCCATTGTGCCATCATAACTATAACCCATAAAAGAAATCATACTTCAACTATTGTGCTACATTGGTTCCAGACCCCATTACTATCAGTTTCTTGGCAAACCCAGCTGTCAAGGCTTTTGGGCACCTATTTAGAAAATTTAGGAAATTTTTACTCTACATTAGACCCTTATTCCATGAGCCTTTGCAGAGATTCTATGTACACATAACCATAGACCCACTCACCGATAAACAATGTTCAGAGAGTGCAGGTAGCCCAGTGCACTGCCTATTTCAGCAGCATAAAAACGAGCTCTTGGTTCCAGGAAACAACGCTCCCTTTGGAGATGGTAGAACAACTGAAAGAGACGAGGGAGGAGAACGTTAGTAAGCCCCTAAACCTTTTAAGCAGTGCATTTAACTCAAACACACAGAGCAGAAATACATGTTTATTGGTTGTGCTTCCTTTTTGCTTACCTCACCCCCGTTGATGTAGTCTAGAACAAAGTACAGTTTGTCAGCAGTCTGGAAAGAGAAGTGGAGCCCAACCAAGAAAGGATGCTTGACATTCTTCAGCAGGACATTGCGTTCTGACATGATGTGTTTCTCCTGAGGGTTTGGAGGGGGAAAAATCACCTGTTAGTACTCAATAATGTAACAACACATTTGTGATCATTGTTCTCTATATCAGTGGGGGCCTTTGGGGTGAAAACAGTTCGATAGTTACCTCTTTCTTTTTCAGGATTGCTTTCTTCTGGAGGACTTTAACTGCATAGAACTGTTCTTCTGCCTTGTGCCTTGCAAGAAGAACCTGAAAGAAACAAAGTAATCCATTACTCAAGACATCTTGGGGAAGAGAATTGGACAAAATTGCCCACAAATGTATCCTTTCTACAAATACTAAACCAAAATGCCTCTTTTCACAGGTGGGTGGGCTGGCAATGCCTACTGGCTGTTAGGAATTCTGGGAGTTGAAAGTCCAAAACACCTGGAGGGCCGAAGCTTGCCCATGCCTGTGTTAGCATAGCAGATAGAGGCATGAAGAGGTGGCAGAGTCAGCTAAAAGAGCCTCAACTCCCTTTGGCCCCTACAGCCTCAATGCATTTGTTATTTCCAACTTATGTACCCAAGCTTTTCCTTGTTCAACCCTGTTACTCTAAATAGTGCTGAATTTTAGACCATGAATCCCTCTCTCTGAAACTTCCAGTTAACAATACAAAGCTAATAGAGCGATGGACTATGCCTTATGTCCACTTCCTAACATTTTACCCTATACTCCATAATCAAATGACCAAGATGGAGATAGAACTTACCTTCCCAAAACTGCCTTTTCCAATAACCTTCAGGAAATGGAAATCAGATGGTTTAGCATGTGGGTTGGATGAGGGTCCAAGGTTGATTTGCTGGGATGGACTGGGCTGCAATTTAAAAAAAGGAGGAAAATAGTCGTAAATATATATATCATTTGTTTGGAAACATTTGATTTTTTTAATTGAATGTGCCTATTTTAAAATAGCATTAATTGTCAGGGCAGATTTAAGAAGCCCTGAATGTTGTGTTAAACCTTTTAGAAATTCATGGGACAACAAACAACTTGCTTTGTTTACAATGAAAGGTTTTTGCTGTGTCTCCTGTTCCAAGCAGATAGGGCTGTGCTTTTATTATACAGTAATCCTTTCTAGATTTCATGGCTACAGTATGTCCCTGGCTTAAGTATCAACACTGGATGGATTGCCAATGGAGACAACTGTATTTGAAAGCCCTTTCTATTCCTGAGTCATTAAATTCTTCTTTAGAGAGGCTGTACACAACAGAGGCTACTTACGGGAGGTGACGGATTGGCATTCATAAGTTCAGGCTCTTGAGGCTGGGAGATCTTCAAAATAGATTGAACTTCAGGGCTGCAGAGAGATTAGAGGGAAGGGAATTAGACCAGTTGCACAAGCGTGTAAACATATCAACAGCCGCTAGGGGCGCGAGCGAGCTAAGCTGTCATTTGGACTGGAAAAAGGTCCAAGTTGGCAAGCTACTCATAAAGCCACTGAAAGAAGTTATTAGATTTCAGGGTCAAGCTGAGACCGGAGACAGAAACAAGCCTTTCTGAGCAAAGAGACTGAAGGTCCCTCTGTACTTAAAGGTCACCCTTCTAGAAGAGGATCTAGTATCTAAGTAGCCAGCTTATCCTTTACCAATCCAACAGCTGAACTCCGCTGCATGCACCATTTTAATCAAAAGAGCTTTCGATGGGTGCATCTAGATCAAGGCATGGGCAAACTTGGCCCCTCCAGGTGTTTTGGATTCCAACTCCCACCATTCCTAACAGCCTCAGGCCCTTTCCTTTTCCCCCTCAGCTGCTTAAGCAGCTGAGGGTGAAAAGGAAGGGGCCTGAGGCTGTTAGGAATGATGAGAGTTGGAGTCCAAAACACCTAGAGGACCAAAGTTTGCCCATGCCTGGCCTATACTGTACAATTAATGCAACTTGACACCACTTAAACTACACCTTGGCTCAATGCTATAGAATCCTGGGATTTGTTGTTCTCTTTGACAGAGAAGGCTAAAAACCTTGTAAAACTGTAACTCCACGATTCCACGGCATTGAGACAAAGCAGTTAAAAGTGCAACAAAACTGCATTAATTCTACCTTGTAGACCTATACTGTGACAGAAAGCAAAGCAGGCATATATATACACACACATACCACCTTTTCCCTCAAAATAGCAAAGTATGGGCAACTACACCTATTCAAATTGAATCTACTTAGTGGGTTGTTGTAGGTTTTCTGGGCTATATGGCCATGTTCTAGGCATTCTCTCCTGACATTTCGCCTGCATCCATGGCAGGCATCCTCAGAGGTTGTGAGGATGCCTGCCATAGATGCAGTTGAAGCATCTGGAGAGAATACTTCTAGAACATGGCCATACAGCCTGAAAAACCTACAACAACCCAGTGATTCTGGCCATGAAAGCCTTCAACAATAATACATTGAGTTGACTTAGTTCTACATCCTAAATTCTGTTGTTGCTATCGCAGCAGAATTCCTGCACCCAACTCTATGTAATTTCAACACAGATAAGAATTCCCCCAGGCAGTAAGAAGCCAGAACTTGAAACTACTAGGCCATTAAATGCTAATCAAGGTGGCCAATTGAAACCTCCACACCTGCCTCAAACAGGCAAGAGTTCTTCCTCCTACTCTGGACATTCCACAGATATATAAAGCCCATTTCCTAGTTTCCAAGACCTCACTACCCTTTGAGGATGCCTGCCATAGATGCAGGCAAAACATCAGGAGATAATTCTTCTGGGACATCCCGAAAAACTCACAGCAACCCACTGTTAAGTTTGTCAATCCAATCCCACTTAACTAATATTAACTTTGAAAAAAACAATCTTAATTTTTTAAAAAAAATCATATCTATACTCTTTTGTATTTATTTTACATTTAACAAAAGTTTCAAATTGATTTCAAAATTATCTCCACTTACTGTTTGCACGCATAGGAATTGGTGGCGATTTTCTGGATGAAGTCATTCAGCCCCATCCTCCTCTGCTTCATGAAAGCTGCAAAGAGAAGAAAGGGAAAAAGAATGGATGAGAAATCAATTGCCAAGATCCACAAGGATTTACTTTTGCTCAACTTTTCCACTTAAGAAAGGGAGGGAATAAAATAAGAGGCGGAAAACTAGACAACCAAACAGGTGGGCAATAATACTTTCTCTGCCAATTGCAGCATTCACACTTTCCTCAGGCACTCCTGGACATTATTCCACAGGTATATACATCCTATTTTCCTAGTTTCCAACAGAGCTCCCAATCTCTGAGGATGCCTGCCATAGAAGCAGGCGAAACGTCAGGGGAGAATGCTTCTTGAACACAAAAACTCGCAACAACCCGCGTTCTCTGCTTCTCAACTCACCAATAAGGATCGCCACCATCCCTCGCATCTTTGAATAAGTTAGAACGGACCCCGACGTGTCTGTTTTGATCGTCATGGCAAAAGCAGGACAAAACCAGCAATAGCAGAGAAAAAAATAACAATCCCGAAGAAATAAATAACCGAGGGAAAAAACTCGAAGGCAGCGCAAGCGAAGCGGCTTCACAAGCAAACAAGCTCCAAACTTTCCCCAACTCAGCTCTATTCTGCGGCTCCTGCTGAGCGCCGGAGGGGTTTATATAGCCGCGCGGCGAGGGCGTGGCTTGCGGGGAAAGGGGCGTGGCCTCGCGGGAACAATGAGGAGGAGCCCCTCCCTCCCCAGGCGCCCGGAAAAGCCTGCAGAGACGGAGCCCTGGCGCCCGCGCGCCGACCCGCCCTTCCCTCGCCAGGAAAAGGCTCTCCAAGCCGGGCAGAGGCAGGAAAAGGGGACACCTGTGTCTTGCCTCCTTTTTCCACTTTATTTTTTGTATTGAAGTGGGGAGATACCTTGGGTTAATTGACAGCAGATATGGGCACACTTCAGGTGTTTTGGACTTCAACTCCCACCATTCCTAACAGCCGCTTAAGCCGCTTAAGGGGAAAAGCAAAGGGCCTGAGGCTGTTAGGAATGGTGGGAGTTGAAGTCCACCCTCTTCTTTCCAGGCTGCCCTAAAGCAGTATTTCTCAACCTTCCTAATGCCACGGCCCCTTAATACAGTTCCTCATATTGTGGTGACCCTCCCAACCCTAAAATTATTTTCCTTGCTTACAGTCATTTTGCTCCTGTTATGAATCGTAATGTCAGTATCTGATATGCAGGATGTATTTTCATTCACTGGACCAAATTTGGCACAAATACCCAATACGCCCAAATTTGAATACTGGTGGGGTTTGGAGGGGGGGGATTGGTTATATCATATGGGAGTTGTAGTTGCTGGGATTTAGAGTTCACCTACAATCAGAACATTCTGAACTCCACCAAGGATGGAATTGGAACCAAACTTGACACACAGAACTCCCATAGCCAACTGATAATACTGGAAGGATTTGGTGGACCTTGAGTTTTGGAGTTGTGGTTCACCTACCTCCAGAGAGCACTGTGGACTCAAGCAAGGATTGCACAAATACTCAAAGTGCCCAAATGTGAACACTGGTGGAGTTTGGGGAAAACAGACCTTGACATTTGGGAGTTGTAGTTGCTGGGATTTATAGTTCACTTACAACCAAAGAGCATTTTGAGCCCTACCAACATAGAATTGGGACAAAACTTCCCACACAGAACCCCCATGACGAACAGAAAATCTGTATATTTATTATTTATTTATCATAAAATTAATAAATAAATATAATAATTATAAATATAATAAATAGTTTATTTATTAACCGTTTTATAATTTGCAATGTTATATTAATTATTTGTATGTATAATGAGGCATTGAATTTTATCATAATCTGTAAGCCTCTCTAAGTGCCCTTTGGGGTGAGAAGAGCAAGGTATAAATATAGTAAATGAATAAAGACTGTGCTTTCTGATGGTCTTTGGTGATCCAAAGACCATCAGACCATAAAGATGGGCTCAAAGTGAACTCTGACATAGACACTGAGAACTGGGAAGCCCTGGCCCTTAAGCGCTCCAGCTGGAGGTCAGCTGTGACCAGTAGTGCTGTAGAATTTGAAGAAGCACAAATAGATGACAAAAGAAAGAAACGTGCCAAGGGGAAGGTGTGTCAAGCCAATCCCTTCCACCTGGAAACCAATGCCCTCACTGCAGGAGAAGATGCAGATCAAGAATAGGGCTCCACAGTCACCAACGGACCCACCGCCAGTACACTGATCTTGGAAGACTATCCTACTCAGACAACGAGGGATCGCCTAAGTAAGTAAGTAAGGTGACCCCTCTGACACCTCCCTTGCGACCCCCCCGGGGTCCCGACACCCAGGTTGAGAAACACTGCCCTAAAGGTAAAGGAGAAAATGCTGCCCTCTTGTCATTCCTTACATGCTGAGAAGCCTTACATGGTGGAGCCCGAAGGCTCGGCCACAGGGTGCAAGCCAAACCAAATGACACTTGCCCAACCGCTGGCCCCTTTCCACTCTGCTCATTTTAGATATGCACCACTTTATGGTCGGACATTGCATACAGATCGCTTTAGGCCCAAAAGGCCATCAAAACGACCTTGCGACCCCGACACCCACTTGGCCAGCAGAGGCTCCGAACCAACTCACAAGCAAGCCACGATAACCACCATGACTATCTTTGCTTTGTTAATCTGCTAATCTGAGGTTTACATCCCCTGAACATGGGGTTTCTATTCTTCTCCATTCTGGCTAATCAAGCTTGGTGAATATTTGTCTAAGTCCCGGAAACTATTCCTGCAGAGCAGTCAAAGAAAGTATAGCATATCAATGAATATATAACCTAATCCTATGCGGATTAGGGTGCAGGGATTCCCAGAGTCATGCTATTTCAAAATGTGGCTTTATCAGCACATCTTCCAACATTTCAAGTAAAAGACCTTTTCTGCTGAGATTAGTTACCATCCTATATACTTAAGTATAAGTAGAAATTTCTGGGAAGTAACTAAAAAAAAACCTGGGCCAATTTATCCACAGGTCAATGTGAATATTGTAAAGGTAAAGGCAGGAGCCCCTGGTGGTGCAATGGGTTAAATCCTTGTGCTGGCAGGACTGAAGACTGACAGGTTGGAAGTTTGAATCCGGGGAGAGTGCAGATGAGCTCCCGTCTGTCAGCTCCAGCTCCTCATGCAAGGACATGAGAGAAGCCCCCCACAAGCATGGTAAAACATCTGGGTGTCCCCTGGGTAACATTCTTGCAGACGGCCAATTCTCTCAATCCAGAAGTGACTTGCAGTTTCTCAAGTCACTCCTGACACAAAAAAGGTAAAGGTTTCTCCTTGACATTAACTCATCATGTCCAACTCTGCTGAATCACTGCAGTTTAACATCACTATAATTGCCATGTATAAATAATAAATAATATTAAATTTTATTTATATCCCACCACCATCCCCTATAGGGACTCAGGGCAGCTTACAAAATAGCACACACAGATGCCATACATAAAATACATAATACATAAAATACAATACATCAACATGAAAACAATAACATTACAATGCTATGGAATCATGCGAGTTGTAGTTTTAAAAGTCTCTAGTATTCTCCGCCAGAGTGCTCATGCCTCACCAAACTACAACTCCTATGATTCCATAGCATTGAGGCATGGGAGTTAAAGTGGTGGAAAACTACATTAGTTTTAAAGTGTAGATTCACCCCAAACGGAGTTCCACGTGAGATGTCTTTCACCCTTATTTCCTTAGAAAAGAAAAAAAATCTTCCCCTGAAATACAGCAACCTCCAAAACTGTATTGATTTCCTCTTATCAGATGATATTTATTAACTACCAAAGAGTTTGCCCCTCTGATGGCATCTGCTAGCACCACATCCAAGCTGGAAGCAAACCAATTCAAAGTAATCTCTTTCCCAAAAAAGAAGGTCATTGGGGCGGGGAGGGTTAATGATTCCCCCCATGTGGAATTTTTATGACCCAAGAGGTATCTACACTGAAGAAATACCGCAGTTTGACACCACTTTAACTGCCATGATTAAATGCTATTGAATCCTAGGAGTTGTAGTTTGGTGAGGCACCAGCATTATTTAGCAGCAAAGGCTAAAGACCTACAACACACAAACAAAACAGTATCTTACCAAAATCCTAGATGGAACTGGTGAGCCCTTTCCCCTTTCCTGGCAGTCAATTTTGTCAGTAAATAGTGAAGAAAAGGGAGCTGAAAGGCAAGAGAGCCCAAGAAAAATCCTGCTCTGTCCAGTGGGTCTCTCTTTGGCACTAAAAGCCGCTCGATAAGAAAATGTCCTTTCCGTCCAGGGAGTGACTCAGAGGAACTTTAGATTTCCTGCCCTGGCTTTCTCAACACAACAAGCCAACACACACTTCCCCCCTCTCCAACCTAAACTGGGCCTAGGAATTCAATCTGGATTAAATACCAAAACGCCTCCTCCTTAAAACATCGAGGAAAGAATAGACTGTGTACACACATAACACTTTCTCTGTTTTAATGCACACTTGCTCAGATGCATAGGAGGGAAGAGATGGAAATCTCCACGCTTGCAAAAGAAGTGAGGGAAAGTTGACCCAGCCTACAATTCTTCCTTTCTTTGCACAATCTTTCAAGAACACGATGTGCACCTTCTGCCTGCCTTCCTTTTTTTTTTTTGTCTTATTGTGGGGCACGTGGGGTTTGTTTATGAAGAGAGTGGCCCGGGATGCCACCCATGGGCAACTAGCAAAGTGCAAGGAGTGGGCCCAGGTGCATCTACACTGTAGAACAAATGCAGTTTGACACCACCTGAACTACCATGGCTCAGAACTATGCAAGGATTCCATAGCATTGAGTTAAAGCATTTATTATTATAGACCTCATCACACTAGAGAAAAAAATCCGCTTAAAATCAAGTTTCTGCCTCTTGCAGAATTTTGAGGTTTGTAATTTAGGAAGGCGCCTTTAACAACCTCACTAAACTACAAACCCCATATTTCTGCAGGAGGCAGAAACCAGATTTTAAGTGGTTTTTTATGGTGTCAAACTGTATTAATTCTGCAATTTAG